CTCGATGTGCAGATTTCGTGGCAGGCGCAGTACTTTGTGAACCTCGATGTGCAGATTTCGTGGCAGGCGCGGTACATTGTGAACTTCGAAATGCTCCTATGTACTCGCCTATGTGCTCTCAGATTTGTGCTTGTATGTGCTCTCACATTTGTGCTCTCAGATGTGTGCTCTCATGTGCTCTCATATGTGCTCCCATATGCTCTCATATGTGTGCTCTCATTTGTGCTGTTGTATGTCTCCTCTCATATTTGTGCTTTCATCTGTGTGCTCCTTCTTTCCTTCCACGTGATGCCATGTTCCATCTGTTCCTCTTTACACTATTTGGGTCCCTTGCCGGTGTAATTTAGTTTGGTTTGGTTAAGTTAAGTTATGTTAAGTAAGCTAAGTTAAGTTAAGTTAAGTCAAGTTAAGTTAAGTTAGTGAGTTAGTGGTTAGTGAGTTTGTGAGCTAGTGAGTAAGTAAGTAAGTAAGTAAGTAAGTAAGTAAGTGAGTAAGTCAGTAAGTAAGTAAGTGAGTGAGTGAGTGAGTTAGTTAGTTAGTTAGTTGGCTTTTGTTAATATAGTTAAGCTAGTTAACTACTGACTTGTGCGACTCGTAGAACTTAGTAGCGACGTTTCAGGTGGCTTGATCCATTCCGGAATCTCTAGACAGCGGCAGCTCTGCGAGCGAAACTTCCCTCATTCCCTACAAGTCGTCCCACTTGTTATATCAAGGAAAGGACCATTCAGTGGGACTCATGTAGACTCATGACATTCATAACCCCAAAATATGAGGATGTCCAATTCAAATCGGGGGGGTAATGATCAAAGAGTCTACATGACAGATTTCCTGGACAATTCCAGGACACACCCCTCCGCAACTCCGCAACAGTCCGACTTGGTGTTCGATGGACCGACGCGTGGACGAGTTCTCCAGAGGCGCTTCGGCGCCTCTGCCGAGGAAAAGAAAAGAAAAGACTCTCTTGCGGACCCGCAACAGTGAAGAGTGAAAAAGGCTTTGCGGCTTTTTCTGGGCAAGAGTGTTGATATATTTTAATATATACCAGGAGTTTAAAACAGCCTCCAAAAACTCGATGCAACTCTGCTTGCTCTGCTTGTGGTGTGATCGTCCCACCTGCTTGCTCGGCCCGACTCATCTGCTCCTGACCCCCCTCAGTTTCCCTTGGAAAAGAAGCAGTGGAATCGAACGGTCCACCTGTTTCATAGGGGACGTTCCCCCATTTGGGGTGATCCACGCAGTTTACCCGGAAGTAGGAACGTGGCTGCAATGGGATCACGCTCACATCCAGAGGTTCCAAGGAGTTGCACTCGTGAACCAAATGGTGGTCGAGCCGGACACACCGAGGGTGGCTTGCGCCACAGCGGGCAGAAGCTCGCCTGAAGAGTCAAAAGCCTCTTCCTTCCTTACCCAGAAGGTCTGTTCGGTGACCCAGAAGGTCTGTTCTGTCAGGTTTGTAAATGTCTTGTCAGTACTTGTGATTGATTTGGGAGCCTCAGGTACAGCCACATGAGAAAAACAGTCAGGTCTGGCAAGCTCAAGCAGACCTGACTAGAAGGACCTGTAACCTTAGCCAATGGCAATGCTCCCCCCATAGATAGTTCCATCCGTTCAACATCGTTCAACTAGCAGCAAGTGGTACGGGAACACCCATGGTTTTCGTCCTTCCTCTCCCTGTTTCGGTCGCACAGCGAGAACTCCGACAGGACCAGCGAGTCGATTTGCCGAAGGGGTCTTGCCGGGATGGGCTAGTAGCTATCAACGGAACTACTACAAAACGAGCCTAACCAGTGCATCCCAATGTAAGGACGTCTTTCGCACGTTCTTTGTAGATTTGCTATCTATGTGGAGATCACTGCTGTACATCCAAAGCCAGGCAGCTGATCCCTTACCTTTTTGGATCTGTTTGGTTGTCAACAATCAATCTCCACACTCGGATGAGCTCAACCCTCCTCTTGGGTGATTTCCCAACCTTTGACTACCACTAGAAGCTACAAAGAAAAGGATCTACAATTGGGCTGGTCACACTTTGCAAGTCATGGTTGATTTACAGTATAACCCCTTGGATGCTTGGAATCCTGTGGTTTCCATAGGACGCCAGACATCTCTGAGAAGCAAAAACTGTACGTAACATAATATTGAATGTTTAAAACATATTATATATTGCTCAATACTTTGCTGTATCCATCTGTATCCACTATTCAATATTCCTTATTCCTCATTTTACCAAGACAACATTCAACAAATGTTTGGAGTAAAAAAACTGTTTGCCTGTCTTGGTACTAAACGTCGGAACAAAAGAATCACATGTTTTGATATGTTTTGTGTTTTTGTTGACACTTGACCCCAAATATACCATCACCTTATGTCACCTGAACCAACAGAGTTTGCTTGACGCCGGGGCCGTCCTTCTTGTCGGCTCGTGGCTCGTTCTCCCTCAGCGCGGGTTTGTTCTACGCTCGACGCTGGTCGGGGCAAAGTCAATGCAAATCCACAAAGAAAGATGTCGAGAAAAATTCTCCACCTGGAAATGATGGGAACCTCAATATTCTCTCTGTTTTGGTCGACTTACATTATCTATGCTAAGTCTCCGTTGACTCTCTCAAGATCATCCAGACTGGTGTCTCTTGTTGGACACACGTCGTTCTTCATCCGGCGCAGGGCTCTCACATGCGCCATCTTGGGCTCTCACATGCGCTCTCCGAGCGAGTCAGGCGTGCCCCCCATGCACGCCATCGCACGTGAAGCGCAGCAATCACCCTGGAAAGAGGAGTGGCCCACAGTCCTTTGGGTGTGGTCATAAATTCAGATCCATTTAGCATCCTGGATAAATCCTGGATCACCTATTGGACGTGTAAACTGTATTCACATAAAACGAAACGAACCAATGCAGGCCGACTAAATCATCAACCACTGTGAACTGCCAAATATCAATAAATCCATTATAGTGTACTCTGCACCCTACGTGTGCTAACATACTTTGTAGATGTTTGCAACGTGCTTATGTTTTGCAATGAAAATGCACATAGTGAGATCGCAAAGTGTAAGGTCTTCCACGAAGATAATTTTCGGATGTTTTCGGTTGTGCTCAACCTATCTCCCCTGTCCTCGGCTCGAGGCAAAGAAAATTTGGGAGCACAACGTGACAGCTGCATGTCCACATGGCTACGACAGGCACGGCGTGTCCGCTCGGTGTAGCTACAACGACTTAGGAGGTCCTCAAAATGGTGTCAGGATGGCTTGAGGTATGTGTCCCCTGGCCTATCCTGGCTTCAAACTTTCTGAGTCACTGGCTGTCACTAACTAGATACTTGCAAAAACACCCTGGGACGCAAAGAACCCAACG